AAAAAAAAAAAAAAAAAAAAAAAGAAAAGAATGTGTATCCCACTGTTTGGGGATGGAATGTTATTAATATATCTTTTGTGTCCATCTGGTGCATTGTTTTCTTCAAAGCTTGTTTCCTTATTAAGTTTCTGTCTGGATATCTATTGATTTAAGTGTGGTGCTAAAGTAGTCTACTATTATTGTATAACTGCCAATTTCTTCTTTTATGTCTTTTAATTGTTGCTCTTTGTGTTTAGCTCTTCCTATGTAGAGCAAATAAATACTTTGAATTTTTATACCCTCTTGTTTGATTGTTCCCTTTATCATATGTAGTGCCCTTCTTTGTCTCTTATTATAGTCTTTATTTTAAAACCTATTTTGTCCGATAATAAGTATTGCTACCCCAACTTTCTTTTTTCTTCCATTTGCATGATAAAATATTTTTCTATCCATTCATTTTCAATCAGAATGTATCTTTAGGTCTGAACTGAGTCTCTTCTAGACAGCATTACAGGGTCTTTCTTTTTTTACTTATTCAGTTACTGTATTCTTTTGCTTGGAGCATTTAGTCTATTTAAATTCAAAGTAATTATTGATAAGTAAGTACTTACTGCAATTTTGTTACTCATTTTATGGTTGTTTTTGTAGTTCTTCTCTATTCCTTTTTTCATGTGCTCTCTTTCTTGTGGTTTTATGGCTTTCTTTAGTAATGTGCTTGGATTTCTTTCTATTTTTTTGTGTATCTATTATAGGTTTTTAATTTGTGTTTAACATTAGGTTTATATATAACATCCTATGCATATTGCAGTCTATTTTATGTTGATGGTCATTTAAATTTGAGCCCATTCCAAAAACACTCAAGTTTTACTCCCCCACACACCCATTTTATGTATATGATGTCATACTGTACATCCTTTTGTTTTGTGAATACCTTGACTGACTTTTATAGATATAATTGAGTTTACTGGGTTTTTTTTGTGCTTTAACTTCCACACTGTTTTTGTAGGTGATTAATCTATTAATTTTGTTCATTCACTCATGAAATTTTTTCCTTCCATAATTTTCTGACTCCTGATTATGGCCTTTTTTTTTTTTCCATTCAAAGAATTTCCATTAACGTTTCTTGCAATGTTGGTTTGGTGATGAACTCAACTTTTGTTTGTCTGGGATACTGTATCTCCCCTTCTATTATGAATGATAACCTTGCAGTGCATTTTAGGTTGCTTTTTTT